CCAACCGGAAGCAGAGCTATGACTATCTGCCTCGTTCCGAAGGTCCGATGCGGACTGCCGTGAGTGTTTGACGCCCGATCATTCCCTAGCACGTGAGAATAATCCTGAATTTGGTTCTGAACAAGGATCAACTTCTATCGAACTCTTGAAGACTCAGTGCCACGTAACCAAGCTCTGGTCCCACATGGCGCCCAGCGTGAGCGCCCACATTTTCACGAGGCGGACACCCCGACGACGGGCAGTACGCGCTACGCCATCATCGTGTGCGCGTTCGCTTCGCTCGGTGGGTTTTTCTTCGGCTACGACCAGGGTGTGACGCCCGGCGTGTTGATTATGGACTCGTTCCTGAACGACTACTGCGTCGGGTGGCACAACTTCACCTACGATGACTGCACCCGGTCGTCTTCGGACCTCCCGGGACAGTGGACGAGCTTCACCGTGTGGTACAACATGGTCTACAACCTTGGTTGTCTGGTTGGAGCTCTGATTGGCGGCTACGTCGCGGACAGGTACGGTCGTCGAGCTACGATTTTCTCCGCCGGCGTCCTGTTCTGCATCGGGACGTCGTGGGTTTGTCTAAACCCCGCACAGGACCACACGCTCATGTACATTGCGCGTATCGTACAGGGCTTCGGCGTCGGCAACTCATCGTTCTCACTCCCACTGTTTGGATCTGATATGGCCCCGAAGGAGCTGCGCGCGCGTCTGTCCGGTTTGATGGTGCTGCCCGTCACATTCGGTCAGTGGCTCGCTAACCTTATCAACATCCTCGTCATGGACGACAGCAACGGCTGGCGTATTAGTAACGCCGTATCGATGATCCCTCCGGTGATCGTCATGTGCGGCATCTTCTGCGTGCCCGAGAGTCCTCGTTGGACGTATCAGCAGAAGGGCAGGGAAGAGGCTGAGGCGGTTCTTAAGCGGCTACGACAGACGGACGACGTGCGCCATGAGCTCGAAGCGATTGGTGACCAGATTAACCAAGAAGAGACTGGGAACAAAGACATGGCTGGACTGTGGGAACCCACGGTGCGACGACGTGTGTTCATCGCCATGGCGCTACAGCTCGGCCAACAGGTGACTGGTATCAACCCCATTATGACGTACGGGTCGCTTATTTTTCAAGGACATCACAGGTGCCGGTCTCTACGCTTCGCTCCTTCTAAGCGGCGTCAACTGCTTGAGTACCACACCTGGTTTGATTTGGTTGGATAAGTACGGACGCCGCTATATGGCCATGATCGGCGCTGTAGGCATGGTGATCGGCCACCTGTTCGCTGCTATTCTGTTCACGGCGATCTGCGACGGCAACGTCGACGACTCGGGCTGCCCTTCAGTCGGCGGATGGTTTATTTGCTTAGGTACAGCTTTCTTCGTCTTCAGCTATGCCGTGTCCTGGGGCGCTCTACCTTGGATCTACTGCTCGGAGATTTTCCCACTCAACGTACGTGCGTCTGCTGTGTCTGTGGCTACTGCAGCCAACTGGATCGGTGCCGCCATGACGGAAGTCGTCAAGCCTGAACATCAACGGTGTATTCTTCATGTTCGCTGGAATCGCACTACTATGCGGCCTGTTCATCTACTTCTACTGCCCAGAGACCAAGGGCATTCTACTTGAGGACATCGAGACACTCTTCAGCCGCAGTAACCACACGGCTACGTCACCGTCCTACGGCGCGGTCAAGACCCCTGTGGCTGCTACCGACAAGAGCCCAGTCGCCACGGCCTAAGATTTTTAAAACCTGTCAAGCAATTTACTACATCTGCGAATTTGTCGAAAGCTGTGATGCGCAAATAACTACTATTGTAATATTAGATCCTGTAGTAGTAGTATTTCAAGCTGTCGAACTAAAGACACAATTCTGTAAAATAGCAACTACTACCGGTAATAGTAAATTGAGCTCTCAGGTAGTAATTTAGAGGCCTTTTGCGTTAAATACCTATACTTTTTATACCAAAATGCTAAACTTTTGAGCACAGAGCCTTTGGTTTGCAAGAAAGAAACGGGTGCATATCGGCAATGAACAAGAATAATAATTGTGGAAGAGGAATATCTAGATACCAAATCTGTTTTAATTTGTACCAATTTACTTTTTCAAGCACTGGAAGCCTACCGTCTTACCCCGCATATAAGGCATATGTGCTATAAATAAATACAACACTGCTTGTGTGTTATATTCGTTTAGAAAGCCTATGTGTTGTACAGCGAACAAATTATTTGACTTTGAAGAATGGGTCCTGGAATCTGGCTTGGTCGTTGAGGCTTGACCCTCCTGCGCGATCGGTTAGGGTTCAAACCCTCCTGCGTGCAGTTCACATGATGTGGTGATTGGTAACGGGTCTTCTCTTTCTGTTGTGGCTGCGTTGTATACGGAGGTTTTGCTTGTTAGTATTATGAATTCTATAAAAAAAAATCTGTTTATAAGAATCGTTTGCATGAATTACATGTAATCACGTGTATTATACTTAAGTACTATGTATCCATCTACTTTCACTGCAAAATATGATCCGGAGCGAACCAAGCACAGCGTTTTCAGAGGATTTTCAACCGTGTACGAGAATTTGGACACCAGCTTATTGTCCTTGTCAACAGTACTTACCTATAGCTACGTCGCTCAGCACTCATGGCTGTGTAAATTATAAAATAAGAGAATTAAAGCCAAGTAACAGCAGCACCGACAAGTTTGTTGAGAAGGGTGGTTAGTTGGAGCTCTCAAGAATATTCATTGGTTGGTACAGCCTTGTGTTGTAACTAGGTTTCAGCCACATGTGCTCTAATTAGGTAGGTGGTCAAATTGAGGTTTAAGCTAGATGTCGAGCGAATCCCGTATTTTATTTAGAGCACATATGCCTTATATGTGGGGTAAGACGGTAGTACATGTATTAGTACTGTTGATGCTACATGATCTTACTCCCAGATTTGCTTGGAA